GTGAGAAACACCAGCATGGTCATCGACGTGGCAGCCACTGACCCGCCAAAGGTTCGTGCAAGACCCCAGCGCTGCAGGAACACCTGCTCGACTAACTGACTGCAACGTAGCCCGGCGAGCGGAACCTCCAAGACGGCGTCGACTGCAGCTGCAAGGAGCCTGGCTACGGAGAGTTTGGGTGCGAAGAGTGTACAGCGTCGGCATTCGATGAGCTGCCGGAAGCGGCGCAGCCAGTGCACGTTGAGACCTTGGCAGGTGCCGGGCTGTGGGTTCTGCTCCCACGTCTGAAGCTGGCATCGCGGCTGCTGGCGGCTATTTTGGGAGGGTTGCGCCCCAGGTGGGAGCATGTCTGGCGCCTCTTGGACCTGCTTCGGAGGATCCTGAGGTCGATCATCTCCCCGTGCTGAGCTGATAGCTCACACTGACATACGCCCCGGCTCGTCGAGCTAGTTTCTACCATCGTTAGAGCGAGCGTTCATGCACAGATGGTGCCACTCGCTAGGCCTGAAATAGCACTATCTGTCCGCCCTAGTCCAGACGTCTTACCTTGCCATCTTTGGGTGATTCGAGGATCGAGCCTCAACAAGGGAGTAGGTAATCGGATCAACACTAACGACATGTCATCACACACGCTGCGCCGGCTGGCGTAGGTACCCAGTGAAGGCGCCAGATGATGTTGTGCTATAGTGTAGATGCGTGGCCGGTCCGTCCGGGCAGATAGTCAGTGTGCATATTGTGCGGGGCGAGAGCGTAGCCTGTAGCTTCAGCGTGCGGAAGACACTCACTGCTCGATCCAAGTACGGCCACGGTCGCAGAGCTCGATGGCGTAATGAATCTCCTGCCATCAGAGCGGCGCAGCGTCTGGCCCGGTAGAGAGGTTCAGCCGTGCGCCTCTCGCTCGCTGGTTGCTGTAATTAGGAAGCGCAACAGTTTAAGAGCTACACAAAGGCCTTTCCTGCTGTGCCACTTCACATGCTGCGACTACATGGTGTACCTCCAACATCCAACATCTGAAATCTCCTCGCAAGCATCACTCATCACTCCCGGTTCGCATCATGGCTGGCGCTGGATGGACCTGGTTCCAAAGAGCAGTCATCATCTTCTTTGATATCCTATTGATCTTCTCTCACGAACAGATCCGCATCCTCCTCCGCTCTATAGCCAACAACTGCCGGACCCTCACCGCTATCCGAAGCCAGTTCGCAGAGCTGAAAAAAGACCCGGCCCTCTACGATTCCAGAAAGAGAACATGGACTGCAAAAGCAAGGAAATTTTCATACAGTGAGCGCACACCTCTCGACACTGAACAGCATTGGCCGTCGAACTGACTCGCACAGCTACGCTAAAACAAGCTGCCCGCTCGCAAGAGGCCCTGGAAGCGGCGAGAGGGTGGAGACACTACACTAGATAGCATGGAAGCCGGGTTCATACCTCTCCAGCAGCGAATTCAACTGTTCTGATGACATCAAGCCTCCTGTTTCCTGCCAAGTGAAATTTTGCATGATGCTCGTCGACTCCACGTCGAGGTCTTGGAGATGCGTGTGCGCAGGTACGGCCTGCCCAAACGACGACGACGAAGACTCACTGAGAGACTCTGTCGGGATCGGTGCGTAGTCGGCCGGGCTGCTCGCTATGTAGCTGGACGTACCCGCACCGGGGCTGTGGGAACATAGCAACTTGATTGCCTGGCGTGGTCATAGACGTGGTCGTTGTCGTGACCATAGGCATGGTCGTTGTCGTGCTGTGGCTCTCGACAGCTGTGTTGCGTGACGGGCTTGACCCGCTTCCGATCGTGGTCCCAGCTGTGCTGTCTGTTGCAAACACATCCAAGCTGCCTGCTGCGTTCGCTATGTGACGCCCGTTCCGTACATGCACTCCCCCAGACATGTATGTGCCATCTCCATACAAGTACGGGTTGTCTTCATACATGGCTGAGCCGCCTGCTCCATACAAACAGGAGCCCCCTGCTCCACACCTGGCCCAATTGCCCGCGTTGTACGTGGCTGAGCTGTCCTCTCCGTATATGGGTTCGATGTCTTTGTTGACAGCTCCGTACATGAATGTAGCGTCAAATCCAGCCGCGGTGCCGTTGGCAAAAGGGTACTCTGCAGCCTGCACAGGCCACAGCGCTGCATTGGAAACACAACCATCTGCCGCCCAACATTGCTCCTCAGATAAAGCGCCCTGCTGCGGGAGGAAGGCTGCGTGCACACCGAGATCCATTTGTGTGTTCGCACCGCTCCACTCCGTAAAAGGTAGCACGAGCGTCCGCTGAGGAGCTGGACACACCATCTCTACACTGTCTTCGCTATCCAGTCGGTCAGAGCGCGGTATCAGGTCGTTTGGGCGAGCGTCCTTCTTCTGCGCGGCTTGTTAGCTTCCCTTTTTGAAAAGTGATGCACCGGACTTGCTTCGCGCAACCACCTCTCCACCTGCTCCCTCGTTGCGCGCCATGTAGCGTCACGCGCTCTGGCTTTCAGCTTGCTTTTCTTCGTGCTTCTCTTGAGACTGCGATACGCAGCAGTCAGCCCGTCCTGCGTCCGAGGTTTTGAAGCTAAGCGGTTGAAGATGATTGTGCAGACATCCCAGGAGCCTGTTCCCAGCTCCTCGGCCGTAGCTCTGGTAATGTAGAGCAGTATCTCGTCTTCCTTGCTGAAGCGGACCATGCTTGCATACTGTGGATCTGCGAGCAGGCAGCTTCGTGTCTCTGCACGTAGATATAGCGCCCTCCATGTCGGCACTGAAGCCGATAACAGGGCCCCGCAAGATGCTCTGCTCCGGACTGAAACACCTGAAGTCGAGCTGGCCTGTGCAGATCGCCCGTTGGCTGCCCATGCGCTGGACGTGCATAAGCGGCAGGCGCAACGTTGGCTTCAAGAACGCGGAAGCGGCTGCTGTACGGCCTGTACGGCCTGCACGCCCAGGCTCGTCGGCGGCTATTGTGGCACGTGCACTTGGTCAGCCGCTTGTTCGGACCAGCAGTTCTTCATCGTATCGGCAGCTCTTCGGTATGGGAGCAGCTGTCTGTTGCTGGGTGCAGTCAGGCACTCCTCTCTCGTCGAACACGGCCTAAGCAGCACTGCGCCGCATGCTAAAACAAACCACTCGGGCTCACTCCTCGAGCAAACAGGAAAGTCGCTCCAGCACAACGCTGCGCCGCTTAGCAACACGCGTGGTTCGACAATCGGCCACCGACAAGCCGTCACAGATCACCTCACTCTGATGGCGATCGAGCGTGTCGCTAGAGTGCAGCACGAGCAGTTGAGCTGCCGCTGCTACATACAAGCACAGTACAGTAAGACACAGTACGACGTCTCCGGGCGTGGTCGGACGATCTCGATGGCAGCCGCGGTGCTGCTGAGGTGTGATGCTGCAACGCTGTTCGTCGCTATGACGCGCTTGCCCGCGTGGATCGTGCGTGTTGGCTGTCTTCTGGGTCAGAAAATGCGGCACGGAGAGGCATAATACGATACTACTGTACAGCAACGGGATAGTACAGACAAGGGCGGTGTTCGTCGCGAGGTTGCGGAACGAAACGACGTCGAGACTCGCAACTGGAGTTCGCACGGCGCCACGCTGCCGGCCCTTGGCAACCTCAGGCCCCACAGCAGCAACCCCGGCGCGCGGCGCAGCGCAAACGGCTTGTTGGCCTGCTTCTTTGCGTAACTCCCGAGAGCGATGCAGCTGTCCTGCAGGCTACGGAGATCCTGCAGGATGTGGAGTCACAATTACAGCGGCTCAAAGGGGGCTCCAGCGCGCATCGCGTTCGTCAATGGCACGCCAGCGTCGTACCTAGCGCGTCAAGCGCGCATGCACCCGGCAGGCTGGCCGAGGCAGGTCGTCGTCGACTTAGAGTTCTTACTCGGCTTGAAAAGTCCCCGGGCGAGGAAGGATGCTTACTTCAACGCTTACTCCAACAGCGCTTACTGTTCCCCACGACTAGCGACTGCTTGGGCTCTACGAGCTACTTGGAAGATAGCACGGATGACGCAGCCAAGCAGGATTGTAGAGAAGATGCCGGGAGTATCGGTCATGTCTGTTTGAGGTAATACAGAGATATAGGTCTGCAACCCAGTGTCGGTTTCTCGCCTGGCTGATTGCTACGGCGAGCTGCAAGCTGATGACTCGCAAACAGGCTCAGATGCGTGAAACAGGAGCGTCAGCGATGTACTGTACATCACGGTGGCTGGACGTGACTGCCTTTACTTGAGGAACGCAGCCTCCCTATCGGACGGATAAACACATGCTGACTATGTTGCAAGCTTGTGTTCCGCGGTTGGGGGATTGTCATATGCTGTGGGCTCTTTGCAGAGGTCGCGAGACAACATATCATGGTCTTTCCAAGTACCGAGTAAGAGCACACGGTACTGCACTATGCCGTGCTCTTCTCTATTGACTCTATCGTGACACACTCCACTCGTCTTTCCTGGGCTTGGGAAGCCGCATCTGCCTAGGTCAAAGAGTTGTCAAGAGGTCGAGCCACGCAGTAAAGACCGCATTAGTGGATCTAGATCGTGACTTTCGGGTACCCGTAATTGATTCCGATATCCCAAGTGGCACATTCATCCCAAGTGGATAGGATTCCAGGCTGTGCACTAGTCTCACTAAGCGTTATGACACGTCTGCTGTCAGTGCAGGCATCCGTCCGAAGCAACTACTGTATCAAGAGCAGCTAATTATACCCATATTGAGTATTGTCGCACGATTGGGTGCGTTGTTGCAGATATAGGAAATAAAGAAGAGTGTGTATATTGTTCTAGCATTTTAGCTCAGCTTATATTTAGACCATCGCACGACACGATTAGCAATAGGTCCGTGTTGAAGACCGCTCTTGGCCTGGGACAAGTGTCTAGGAGGGCGCGATATCGCCAGGGCATCCGCATACAGTATTGCTTTGTTCAATCAATGCAGGGGCGGCCGTAGGCACGTTAGAAATCACCAGATTAGATGTCCCGTTAAAATCACATAGTCTCGAGATTGAAGACCGCGTAGTCCTCACAGTGTACAGTGCAAACAGAAGCTGTGTATTGTTATTAACTGTGCTCAAAGCTTAATAACTAGTGTGAAATGCTGTAGCTAAGGCAGTCGCAACCTCTGTCCCGCTAGATTTAAGGTCTGCCACTAAGCCACCCAGACTTAACACAGCCATTAAGATGTACATGTGCTAATATACTCATGCTTAGTTTTGCTGTAGTAAGTTATACAAAATAGCTCCACCAAATGTCTTCTTTGTCTACCTAGTTTAATACAGATTTCCACGAATTTGGCTGCTAGTGCTAGACTAAGCAAGGCGCAGAAACAACGCATTACCCAGTCAGCCTCGTTACCGTGCCGTTTCTAGTCCCCCAAACCTACAACTCCTGCACTTCCGCTAAATAGAGCAGCGTAAGCTTAACTAAATCTTTTAGCATCCTCACAGATCCAGCTCAGATAGGCCTTTTGAACTTACATCTACAATACCTCAATAATTAGATAGATCGGTCTAGTGTATAAGATCGAGCCTAGTACATTGCCGGTGTTCGTTCTAATCGCTGGCCACGTTTGCATAGTCGATAATGTCCGATAATATCCAGCCGACTGTGCCTGCATAGATTCTTCCAACAGTCAACGCACAAGGCACACTGCTTCAGGCTTCGGTATTTCGAGTTCGATACCTGAGCCTATCAAGATCTGCACAGCATGCTCACTCAAAGTCTCTCCATCACTTGCACTCCGGAAACTGGCCTCATCTACTGTAAGTCGATTGCTGCATCCCGCACCCTATAGCGCCCTGTTTTCTCTATCTATCGATCTTACAACAGCTCGCTAACTATTTCCTTTGTACACTGAAGGTCTGCCTAAACCTCCGTCCTAGATGCACTTTTCCATACATGCCATGCACTCTCGAGCTGAATGTCTGTAGGCTGCATCTCGGTGCTCTCGCCCTGTCCCTTCGGCACGGCTCGCTGGGCCCTCGCATCTCTTGTCTCCCTCAAGACGTCGATCAGAGTCTCTCTGACTCCTGCAGTAGCGCACTCGGGCACGCACACGGCAATGCGAGCCCCTGTCATGAGCAGCTTTACAACGGCGGTCTTGTCCTGCGAAATACGGTCTTGCACGTATCTACATCCTTGTGACTGATCTGGCATGCGTGAATACGCGTGGTAGATAGCTACAGCGCCAAGCTGCTGCCAGCGTTGGAAAGAGTCGAAGTAGAGATGGTCTGCACGTGAGCGACATCCGTAGAAGAGCAGGGCAGTCGGAAGGGTGCGGCCGGTGGCCAGTTGTGCTGCTCGTTCTTGTATGAAACTGCGAAAGGGTGCGATGCCTGTCTCTACTGTCAGTGAGGGCACAGCAAGAGTAATGCGAAGTCTCATACCGGTTCCTGCAGCAATCAGAATAAGCGGAACATCGTCGGCGGCTTCGGGCATGCGAAACTTATCAGCACATTCTTTTACGCAAACGGATACCTCGTCACCAGCAACTAGGGAAGACAGGTACGCTGATGCCAGCCCGGAAACCTGCGACTGAGCGTGTGTGGATGTCACCGTAGCACAGGAAGCATTCCATAGGGGGGAAGACGAGATGCAATATTGTCGAACCTTCATCGGCGGCTGCATGGAAAGAAAGGCTCCAGGCGAGATGCTGACGGCAGGAAAGCGCTCTAGCAGATCGAGCAACGACAGGCGCTTGCCAATAACCTCTTCTTGGTAATGAGCCTCACCCGCAAGGCGGTTTAGCTCAGCGATTGACGTCTCGTCGTCTGTCGCTTCCAACATGTCTAGTATGTTCTTCTTACTGGCCGTTTGTTGGAGCTCAACATACGCACGGAGAACCTCCGCTGCCCTCATGGGCGTGCGAAGAGGAAGTGTTGTAGAAGTAGCGCTGGAGATTGTCAGGACGCTATCCCCGGACAGGCCCAACAGATTCAGCGCGCGACGAACAACGTGTCTCGGATTCTGTGGAAGGACAGCTAGACGATCGCCCGTCCGGTATGACACGTTTTGTGGCAGCGCGATTTCTAGGTGCTTCTTGACAGAAGCTTCGTTGGAAGACAGCGTCTCGCTCGCGACGATCCGAGCACTGTAAAGATTGCGTCGCAACGCCGTTGCTTCAGGCGCGCAAACCTTGACTTGTACGTCAGATTCTAAGGGTTGGGCTGCCGATACGTCTGTGTGACAGTACCTCTTTTGCACAGCAGGCCAGAAGATGCCCTTTTCCCAGGCTGCAAAATCGATTGCGGCCTTGTCATAGGCAATGTCCGTCGTGCCCATGGGAGCCAGTCTCATGCCACCGCGTTCCTCCAACGCACCGTCTAGGTACTTTGGTACTTTCAAAAATGTTTTGACCCAGTCGTGGTGCCCGCATCCAAACACAGCGAAAGCGACTCCGGTAAGCTCGCTGCAGCGGAGTGTTTTGACCCAGGCCACGAACTCTGCTGCGTTGCTAGCGGGCTGTCCATTGTATGATGCCGCTATTATCACGACAGGGTTCGTTCGCGATAGGTTCTCTTTAGCAGCATTCAATGTGCCTATGTCCCCAATGGCAAAGCCATGATCTACCGCATGGCTGGCGAGCTGGCTGGCTAGCTGCTCGCACGTGCTGTTGGAGCCATAGTACACGTCAACCGCGACAGTCGACGGCTCAACCGCCCGGAGCTCCAAACTGCTTGATGTAGTAGTATCGGCGATAGTTATTGAGGATAAGGGCCGTTGGAGCGTTGACAGAGCTACATCCGGCCGCAGTCGAGCACGCATGCGGAAGCCCTCGGGTTTCATCGTTATCGTCTGTTTGGTTTTCAGGCGATACCATGGGTCGCTCATAGACAGATCGAAGCTCTGGAGGAGCATCGCTGTGACAAGAAGCGCTTGCTGCCACGCAAAGAAGCGTCCAATGCAGCCTCGCATGCCATTGCCAAACGGCTTCCAACAGTTTGGGAACTGTCTGTTGCGTTGTTCAAACTCACTGTCAAGCATACGATCTGGCCGAAACTCGTTTGCGTCACTTCCATACACAAATGGGTCTCTGTGGACTGATGCAAAGAGGGCGATGATCGGCGCCTTGGCCTTGACCTGGTACTTTCCACCCAGTATGGTGTCCTCTTTGGCGGCGAGCGCAACTGCAGGAACAGTAGGCGACAGTCGTAAGGATTCGCGGAGTACAGCATTGAGATAGGGAAGCTTGGAAAGGTGCAAGGGCGTGATGCTCTCTCTACCAATAGCATTGTCGACCTCTCGTTGTGCCTTTGCATACGTTGCGGGGTTGCTGAGAAGATAGTAGAACGTGAAGGAGAGGAGGCCCGAGGTCGTCTCGTGACCAGCGAACAGGAAAGTGATCATATTGTTGACGATGCTATCAGCCTGTCCAAGTCAGCAACGATGCTGGCGATGCTGCTGGCGATGCCGCTCGCGGCGTGGCTTTACCGTCATTTGTTCGCCCGTAAGAGGGTCAACTCCATGCAACATTGCGTTAAGCAAATCCTTCTTCTCATGAGGGTGCTTCTTCCTTTCTTTGATGACCTCATGTGCCGTCTCTCGCAGCCGCTCGATGTCACCCCAGTATGTGTGATTTTCAAAGACATAAAATGGTTGCATTACCGCGCTCCTTTTCGCGCGATCTGCGTTCGTTTTGAGGAAGCTTTCTAGCGCGTCTACAAATGGATGCATGGCTTCTTTGTAGTAAGAGTTGAAGCGATAGTCCATAGTACACAGCGCGATCACATCCAGTGTTAGTCTTGTGAAGTCGCTCGTCACATGTATGTCGTGGTCTGCTCCATGGCGTGCCCACTTCAGGACGAGTTGTGTAGCTATGTCCTGCATCTCGCCGAACATGTTTTGGATCGCCAGCGGACCAAAGTGCGGAGCCAATATACGGTGCGCGATGCCCCAATTCTTCTCTTCAGGGGCAGATGCGGTGCCCAGGCCGTCTTGCACACCGTTGCGGGCTTGCTTGAGGGTAGCAGCAATGACTTTGGCAAAACGTGCCTCGTCGCACACCTCATCCAGCAAAGCCTGCGACCCAACAACGATCCTTTCTTCGTTGCCCAAGTGGAACTTCCAGATCGGCCCTTCAACTGTCAGCTGCTAGTCTCTTCTTTCTGTGACATGCCAAGCTTGGCGAGAAACCCAAACACTGACCATAGTCATCGGTCAGTCTGCACAACGAGTCGACCGTGTTTTGGGAGTCAATATCCCAGAGGTTGCCAAAGAAACGACGGCCCGGAGGTCCGGGGATGAGGGCGTGTGGCGTTTCGCTGGATTCGGTAGACATCTTGAGTGTGTAAGAATTCTGTGGTGTGATGTCGGAAATCCTGCTGGTACTCACATTGGATGGAAAAGGTCTCTTATACTTTGGCCGTGTCTGCCTGCACTTGATTAGTCGGCTGGTGGGCGCCGAGTTGATACACGTTCTATCCGCTCCCAGCGAGCGAACGATTATAGTACTGTTGTGAGCGGCGATAGTACTATACGCACACATAGACGGAGCATCCTACACAGCCATCGACAGGCGTCAAACCACTCGTGGATAACTGGCTCGTCAGCCGGCAGCTCACCAGCCATGCCGGGTCGTGCGCGTAGCTGTCCCGAGTGACTTGGGGCACTATCGGTAGATCACTCGTCCAAGTGAACTAGCACGAGTACCCTAGATTGTTCGCGGGCGCTAGTCTCGCCATCAGCACCCGAACTACACGGGTATAGACCATATGCCGCTGCACCGCATGCCGACCAGTCTTCGAAACAGTATTGCACTGTACAGCCGCTAGCGAATGCAGCTTCACCCCTGCACGCAGCTGCACCCCTGCACGCAGCTGCACCACCATTTTCGCTAGCCTGTGGGCAGGGATTTGAAGCCCCACACACCGAATCCAGTAACGCGCCTTGCTTACGTAGATCCCGCTTACCAACTAAGTAGACAGCTTTAGCCGTCCATTCAGCAGTCGCTTATCGCAGTAGGAGACTGCACTAATAATTGCCTATCTTAGTATAGAAGTATAAAGATGTGGAATGCGAGAAGCGTATAACTATCTATAGTTTATATATAGTTACTATACTACTGCAGCTAGCTGTAGTAAGAAAGCAGAGAAGATTGCACGAAATAGCAAAAGCGTGCTTATAACAAGTTAAGGAACAACACTCTACCAGAGCTGTATCCAAGCGCAACCCGACAGCTGTAAACAGCAGTGCAATTAAGTTGGTAGTCAGTGGGTATCCAAAGCATCTCTTCTCCACCTGCCGTCACCCACCTCTCCGCGACGAAGATGCGCTGTGCAGGCGGCCGAGGGGCAAGGGTAGATGTAGACTGCGCTGGTAGCGGAAGCAGCATTAACCCTCGATTCGTTTCTAGGCAGGACCCATCACTAGAGAAGGCCACGCTGCTGATAGACCCCGTATGGCCCTCGAGCGTGTGCAGCGGCTGTCCAGTCTTCGCATCCCACACCCGCGCCGTCTTGTCGTGTGAAGCCGATGCCAATCGATCTCCAGCTGCTGAGAAGGCCACGCTGTCGACCCAGTGGGTATGGCCCTCGAGCGTGTGCAGCGGCTGGCCAGTTCTCGCATCCCACACCCGCACCGTCTCATCCAACGAAGCGGATGCCAGTCGATCTCCTGCTGCCGAGAAGGCTATGCTCTTGACCCAGTTCGTATGGCCCTCAAGCGTGTGCAGCGGCTGGCCAGTCTTCGCGTCCCACACCCGCACCGTCTTATCGTCTGAAGCCGATGCCAGTCGATCTCCTGCTGCTGAGAAGGCTACGCTCCTGACCCAGTCCGTATGGCCTTTGAGCGTGTGCAGCGGCTGGCCAGTTCTCGCATCCCACACCCGCACCGTCTCATCCTGTGAAGCTGATGCCAGTCGATCCCCTGACGCCGAGAAGGCCACGCTGGTGACAGTACTCGTATGGCCCTGGAGCGTGTGCAGCGGCTGTCCCGTCTTCGCGTCCCACACTCGCACTGTCTTATCATCTGAAGCGGATGCCAGTCGATCTCCTGACACCGAGAAGGCCACGCTGCTGACACTGTCAGTATGGCCCTCGAGCGTCTGCAGCAGAGGCCCCCACTCTTCCTCTAGCTCATACTTCACCTGCACTCCCTCTGGCATCTCCTGCTTGAACTGATTCCGGACTATGCTTCGCTCTGGCGCAAACACTAACGCACCATAGTATACCTGCAGCGGCGCTTCTTGGATCCCAGATCCGCTCCACATCGCAAACCGCAGCGCATCGTGCACAAAGTTTGATACTATTGTACTTTCTGCTGCCTTAGACGAGGGTTAGTAGCAGTATCTTTGTAACGCTAGTCGATAACTTACATCAAGAGCCGCTTCTAGTTCCTGTAACACCAACATCGCTTCTGGCATCTTCTGCAGCAGGCTCATCGCCTCTAGCCAGTGCAGCAAGTGCCTCTGAAAGAAGCGGTGTACTTTGCCGCCGTCTGCAAAAATATTGCTACAAGAACGTCCGCTTGCCTGCAGATGCTCTACCCAGTACTCGCATGCATACGCCACCTGCGAGAGACAGCTGCCCCGAACGCGGCCCGTTGCCTCCTGTATTCGCACCCCGGGCTTCTGCAACCTGCACATGTCCCTTCGCAGCGTGCTGTCCATCGCGTCTAGCAGGCAGTGGGTTATTCGTCTCTGCTCCTCCTCTAGTGGGCCATCAAACACCTGCCGGCCGCTGCCTAGCGTAAAGAAGTCTTTCGCAGACAGGTGGATGAAGGACACAACGCCTTCACGCACAGTTAGGAACGAGCCGCAACGGCTAACAAGGTCAGCAACGGCTTGCACGTCGCCAAACCAATCTCTAGGAAGGCCCGCACTTGGGGCGAGCTCTTCGAGTTGCAGCGGCCGGAAGGCAAGCGTGATCGACCGAAGAATGTCCCTACAGTACCCTGCAGTCCTTGCATCTTGCCCCACGATCTGCTTCATCATCCGCTCGTACAGCGGGTCGAGGTCTGGCGGCAGTGTCCGCACCATCTCCAGCGTGCGGTAGAGCGGCACCTTCTCTAGCTCTTTGCACACCAGCGAAACCCACAAGAAGGTGCCTTCTGCCTTATCGCGGAGCTGCTGCTGCACCTCTGCTTGTAGCCTTGGGTCATACTGCTGCACGATCGCCAGCCGTCGCACCTTGTACTCTACAAATGCCGCCACGGCCTTGGACACATGGCTCACGTTCACCTCGAGGCTCACCTTGACACCCAGCGAGTCGGGCTGCAGATACCGCTCGATCTCTAGTATGTTGCGGCTCGTCACTAGCCACTTGACCCTCGACTGCTGCCCAAGGCTCGCGTCGGTGATGATGTGCAGCAGCTCCGACAGCCCAGATGTGCACTCATCGAGCGCGTCGATCAAGAGGTACGTCGGCGGCAGAGAAGCGTCGTTGAGTATATCTGATAGTATCTCTCTTAGTGCATAGACCGCATTCGGCCCTTCAAACAGCTGCTTGCCCGCAGTCCCGTACCGCTTCTGCACATGTTGCATAAGCTGCGGTCTTTGCGCGACGAGCAGGTAGATAAGCCCGCGGAGGACCGACACTGCAGTGTTGAGCTCTGGCCGAGTGCTCTGGCAGAAGAAGTAGGCCAACAGCTGCGGCCTTGACACGCTCTTGCGGTCCTGCTTAGAACTGGGCATCTTTGACATTGTCCTTGGCGGTGGTTTGGCCTTGTTTCTCCGAGACAGCTCAGCGATCACACCTATCGTCATCATCGTCTTGCCTTTGCCTGGATCACCCTTGATCCACAGCAGCCGCGACTCATCCTGTGTCCTCCATCGCTGGAAGCTGGTGTCGTCCAGTATCCAGGCATAGCAGTCTCGGAGCAGCCTGTCCTTGTCGCCCTCGATGCGCGCCCGGTCTTCGCGTGGGTCAGTGACTCGCAGGTCGTGGAGGCATTGGTGACGTTCTGTCTCGCTGGATCTGCCTGCAAAGTGCACATCGCCATAGACGTTGCCGTAAATGTTGGTTGAGTCGCCGTCCGCTCGGTTGCCGGTGTACGTTGTGGTATGGCCATGTGGAGACTCCATTGGTGCGACCCGCACGCCGCTGCCTGCGACGTTGCAGTAGCCCACGATCACCGCACTAACCACGGAAGCTCGGTGGAACCGTCTCGCGGGGGTACGATCAGTCGCACATCTAGGTGAGTGTGTGTGGCGTTTGGTAGTCAATGTCTAATGTCTTGTTTTGCATTGAGACGGTCAATCCAGGCCGCTATTGAAAAGCATGCATTTTGCAGGCGCTTACGGCGGCGTGCTCATGCTGCCAAGTCTTCAGCGGAACCGGCAATGAAGTTGGCCAGGCTGACTTTTGCCTCAGCTGCACCCAAGCACCCACGTCAAAACTTACAACGCCCTCTCGGTTCGGTATAACAGAAAACGTACAATCGATCAGTTATGCCGGCACTGGTATGCCCTCGAAGTTCTATCTGAACAGAAAATGGATCCCTACTAAACAACACTAGGAAGTGATTGGCGGCACGGCTGCTGTCTCGCAGCTTCTCGGTCAGGCAATCACCATCATCCAAAAGATACAGGATGCGAGAGCCAAAGTGCACGGCGCGTCAGATCGCCTTGATGGCTACCAAGGCCAGCTGGACACATTACTAAGTACACTGCAACTTGTGCAAGACGAACCCGAGCTACAAACACCTCCAATCGAGAAGCAGGTTCAGAAGATTATCAATCTGGGAAAAGGGCTGCAACGCCAGCTCGATGCCTTTGCTGCTCAGCTGGTAAGAAGCAAAACCAAACAGTACACGCATGCAATCATCAGCGGCGATAAAGACGAGAGGGCGCTTGAGGATGCCATGACTCAACTGGATCGAGCGAAAACGGACCTTAACGCGCTGATCGTCACAACGCACGTTGGACTGAGTGGATCGATGCGCGCCGGCTTCACGGCTGCTCTAGCGGTAGTTCAGCGGGTGGACAGAAACGTGGAAAGGGTCCTTGGCGAGAAGCTTTGCATAGCTGCGTACCTCGAAGAACGACGCCTGGATGAAGAAGGTATTGTGCAGCGGTACGATCATACTGGCTTGTGCTAAGTGTTATAGGCAATAGCACAGTGCCTCTTACAGCGGAGGATATCAAAGCGCTGAATTTTGTGGACAAAGTATCGTGGATCGACAACGAGGCATTCGACGATGCGAACATGTTCAACTCAGATCTCGTCGAGCGGCAGATCCACGCACCTACAGAAAGGGTATACAAAGGCAACAAGGCGCACGGAACAAGCACAATCGTCCAGGGTAACGCGGACGCGGCAGGAATAGCGGCAATCCTGAGAGCGAAGAGGAGGTGATGTGGCACTTATTGCGACAGGGTTCCTCGATGCAAAGTAATCTGTGAGAGGCTCGGCTTACCAACTTTGATACTCTCTCTAGTACGGCCGCAATCGCGGCCATTTCATATTCTGAAGGTCTCTGATTTCATCGATAAAGTTCTAGAACCAAGACAGACTACTATAAGATTGACATCATGGTACAATTCTAACATACAGTACAGTACATAGATGAAGCGGTAAAACCGTGCTTGTCAGTAATGAAAATGTGCAGCATCGGGTTAGCCTTATACTGCACCTGTACTATTCTTGTAAGTCTCAAGAAACCACAGCCAGTGGATTACCCCCTAGTGAATAAGATTACGTTTGGGGTTGAACGCAGCAGTCTTACCATATCGAATCTTGTTATTGGCTCAACTCTACCTTATCATTTTGGAGGACCAGCGCCCCCAACTTCAGCTGCTTCCTGACCAACCAATAGACAGCGCAAGTTTGATTGCCGCAGCTAGATGCCTGTCGCTCCCGCGTTGTAGATAAAACCTTAGCTATTGCTATTGTCCATCGTTCTCCTTACTACGAAGCAATTCTCTATACAGCATCGTTTTCACCAAACACATTAACAAAAATGCAGATTCGGATTAGACTGGGTGAGTGAGTTTGTTTATCAGGTCTTATCCACGACCTCTGCGTCGCTTACAGACTAATCCAGATGATAAAACACTGTCCGTGGCAGTGTCCCCGACCGACGACATCCAGACGGTCAAGAAAAAGATTCAAGAGCTCGAAGCTATTCCAGTGAACCAACAGCGCTTGACGTTTCTCGGACAGCCTGTACTGGGTAACACCCCGCTCAGTACTATTGGAGAAAACAGTCTGTTGCACTTTACCTGGGAAGACCAGGCTGAGATATCTGCAGAAGGTAAGCTAGCGAAGCCTCACCTGAATTAAAGACGCGACCCTGTATAAGGTGCTGAGTTGGGCGAAACCCCTCTCTACACAGCTACAAGTGCCCAACTATATCGGACGCATTTTTTGCTAACTGGACACCACAATAGCTGGTGGAACAGCGTCCTCAGGCAGAGGGGCCCAAGCTTCAAAGCTCAACGACAAAGCCTCATGGGTTGGGAACGTTGCCTCGCAGAATGGGATGGTCTTCAATACCGACTTGGTGGAACGCCAACTTCCGCAATCAACAGAGAGACTGTATCAAGCGAATGGCGCCAACGGAAATGGTACGACTCTCAATGGCAGGGCTAATGTGGAAGCACTTGTGGCTCTTATGCGTGCGAATTCCGAGGCCAAGCAGGTACAGTCGAACGATGGCTAAGAGATGTTCGGCATGTCTTCGTGGCTTTGGCAGTGGGCATGCGTTGCCGTCGCTTTTGTTGTGAGACAAGATCATTTTCACATGCCAGCCAATTAGAATCTAGCCACGCGAACTAAATCACCATTGCGGTGTTATCACGAGCTGTTGTGCTACTATTCCTTTGTCTTCACTTGGCGCTTAACCTGTGTTTGGGGTCTGCACGCGTTCGTGAGATAGAGAAGAGGAACCGGATTATGGTAGGTGTCGGTGTCGATGACGATGTCGTGCATGTTCGTCGATTGCTCCACCGCGACAGGATGACCGACTTGCAGCCGAGATGGCTGGGTCAGCTTCTGGAAAGAACGGCCGGATGTCAAACGTGTCTGGCTTGCCATCCCCTGGTAGCTTCGGCATGTCGTAGTTGTCGATGACGACCATTCATGGATCGCTGCCAGCTCTGCTCAGCCAGTGCTTGACCGTCTCCACCGCCTCGCCAAGTTCGCTGCCTTCAGACACAGCCTTTAGATGCACAGGCGATGAGTGCTCGCGGAAGATGTGGGCTGTACCACTACATAGCCTTGCTTCAGCGTACCTACGCTTTTGCCAACGACCAGAGCACACGCTAACTGCGTCCTGCCCATCCACCCAAGCCATGCACTACGATCGTTGCACGAGAGCCGTTGTATTGAAGCCCTTCGTGGATCGGAACGAGCTCCTCCATCCAACCGAAGAGCTGCTCTACGTGCGATACCTGCAGCACGCTGAACTGGACATCGAACGACTCGGCGGGCTCGCTGGAGCGAACTACAGACAGCTTGTTACCACTGCTATCGTTCCTGCCTACTGTACGTCCAGTCCTACGTGCCCGTGTTCACTCTGCCCTCTGTGTCCTACTGTTGGTCGATCGCATCGCCCGCGCGCGCAGCCATCACCCGTCCACTTCTGCTCACAGTATCCGTTCAGGCCGTGAGTCGCGACGATTGTGGGATCGACTGCATCAGTCGAGTAGAGAAGCGGTATGAGTACGAGGCGGAGCGTATTCGATAATCGGGTCGATGCTTTTCCGCACTTCCCGCAAGCCTGGCAGAACGGCACTAGCTGCTTGTGCTTGCGGCGAAGATATAGAGGGCTTCGAAGGCGTTTGTATGTGGGTAGGAGCGTGCAGAGGCGAGAGCACCTCAGCAGAACGCACCTGCCCGCCCTCTCTCCTCTACCGGAACTGCAAGAGCGGTCATCCCATCGTGCTAGGCATAGTCAGCGACTAGAGTGGGTGATGTGATGTGTGCGACATCCAGCACCATTGCGCAAAGAGACTGCCGCAAGGCTGACACGGACGGCGGCTGTCACATTCTGGCAGTTGTCGCTGGCTGTCGGCCGTTCAGCCCTCCGTCCAAGCGGCGCTTACCCGATCTGCCATCACGGGTCAGCTGCTTCCTGTTAGGGAACTCAACGACACGTTACGACGACAGTGCATGCCAGTGGTCGGCCTTGCACGGTGTCACAGCCCTCCGACAATGCCTGTTCGACGCACTGCCAGATCCCGGCGTGGGTCCCAACTAGCAACCTCAGGGTCTCAGCAGCCCTACGGCCGATCATCGAACTTGGCCACTCAGGCCGCCACCGCAGGCTCGTGTCCGTCGATAGGCCCAGTCTCGTTCCCGCTCGACCGATCCCCGTTTTTAGGCGCGTCTACGACGTCCCGGATCCCTGATACCCAGATAGCGGGAGACCCGTCGTCCCCTCGGAGCGAGCCGTTGGTGCTCCGCTCACCGTTCCCGGCTGCAGTATACCAAGAAGCGATCGCGGGCGATCTAGGCAGGGGCACTTGTACCGTAGGACATGTAAGGCCGCTTTCAGGCAAGCTCGAGCTGCTGAGTCTGGATGAGTGGAACGAGAATGAGACATACGATGAGGAGCCGCCAACCTGCGTGCACTACTCGATCGAGTGGAAGGTCACGCTGAACAACAAGCTCCTCTCTAAGGATACAGAGCCAGACCTTGTGCTAGCGCCCAGGTTCTACTGGTCGCTGTTCCTGCGTGAGAAGCTCGAGAGGCTGCTGCAGAAGAAGCTGCCGCCGAGTAAGCGTGTTACCTGCGAAGACACTAACGTTGTTGTGTCAGTGACTGAGCGCTCAAAACGTGACTTGACGAAGCGCTTTGATGAAATGGATGTGGATTGGTTCTTAGTGGAGAGACAGCTCTCCCAGTGGAGCGAGTCGTTTCGTGCAGGTAAGAAGCTGAGGAAGGAACGTCCAGTCTGCCGTCCGTCTGGCAGGACGTATACAACCTAATGCGGTGTCCAGGCCCGCCTTGCAGTCTTGGGCCTCACTGCTGGCGGGACCCGCACGGAAAGAAGCACTACAAGCTAAGGACGCATCAGCTGAAGGTCTTAATAAGGCATGTGGCGCAGGGGGGGCAGTTGCGGTCGCATGACGACGTACCGGAGGATGTCCGACAGCAGCTCTACGCAGAAGAGCAACAGCAGCTGGAAAGACACCAAAGAGCAAGTCACAGTGCTCTGGCGGGTCATGCTCCCATCCACATAACAAACGTGCTTCCTGGGCCGTCTCACTCCACATCAGGTTCCACCGAAGTGCAAGCTAAGCCTCGCCTTGACATGCCCGGTTTCTTAGACGCAGCCGTGGAAGAGTACAGTGACTGGCAGCAGTCACGAGTCAGGAGGGAAGATCAAAAAGATGACATTCGGAACATGTGTGACATGGCTCTAGAGCACGGACTCGACCTGCAGCAGCTTCACGACGACCAGGACCCGGACTTCTTCATCTCGCGGGGCATAAAGATTGGTGTCGCTCGGCGTTTCTTACGCGACATCGAATACTGGGTCCAGCAGCAGGTGGCAGCTACTGATCAGATTACTATAGATTGAGACAAGCTCAGCGGTTTTCAGCTTATTGGGTCATGACTATGCGTAGCTTCTACTCTGCTTAGACTAAATACCCACACGTGCAAGTTCAGAACTCCTCAACCGCGATTCCCGCGTGCCTAAAGTGGCCTTTGGCGCTGTCTTGCTTTCCGCCCACCACGTCTATACACCATTCCAAAAAAGCATCAAAGCCTTGCTCCGGCGCGTCTTCAAAGGCACGCCAGTTCTTCTTGAACGCCTTCAGCTCGGCAAAGAACTCTTCGATCGGGTTCAGGTCTGGTGAGTATGGCGGCAGGTACATCAGCTTGACGCCAGCGTCGCAGCACATCTGCTCGAGTCGCTCCGTGTGGTGGAACGATGCATTGTCCATCACAAGCACAGACTTTGGTTCTGGCCACCTACCACAATGGGGGAGCAGTTGCTCTATATAGTCCTCGAACACAGCGCTGTCTGTTGAGCCTTGAAACACTTGCGAGAGCAAGATCCCATCCTGAGTGTACGCCGGCAGGATCTGATAGCGCCGGTCGTGATGGAATTTGGCCACCTGCACAGGTGCTACGCCAAGAGGAGACCATCCCGTGCGTCTAAATCCAATACGTTTGTCGTAGCCAGACTCATCAATGAAGACAAGGTGGTACGACTGGAACTGTGTCAGGTTGTAGGGGTAAAAGTCTCGCAAGTCTGCGTTCTGCTCTCTCGCAATCTGCCGAGCAACCTTCTTCGACCATCCTACCGCCCTTAAGGTTCTACTGATGCTGTGTGTAGAGACGAGAACGCTGAACTCGTCCCACAGGAAGAGTGCCATCTCCTCCTGGTATAGGCCTGGCTTCTCGAGCAGGTGTTCGCTAAGCGCGTCTAGCATCGGTGGCGTGATCGATCGTCGTCTCCCGCCCCCGTTCGCAGGAGCCATTGTAGAGTGGAAGTGGCGGAGGTTAGATCTTATTGCTTTAACCGAGCGCTTGCTGCAGTCAGCCACTGTGGCTATCTGAGCAGCTGTGAGCATCCCATCGAGGATCATATCGCGAACGAGGTGGTGCTGCGAGGTAGCGAGGTGTGGCGCCATGCTTTCGGGGGTCTGTCTGTGCAAGATCAGTATATTTCGCACGATACTGTACATTGCATGCCGGGAGTGTCGCGCGAGCACAGGGAACGGCTGTTCGGACTGTCGTCGCTGAGGTTGCAGCGTGTTCTATGCCCAGCTATGGTGACATGATTGACTCGCCAAAGCTCGCAGAGATACCTACGCAACATCATCTGTGTCGCTCATCTCCTCTTACCCATACTGCGAGGCTCGTGTTGCTCAATACAATAGAGCATACTTTACGTAGAGATGTTGTTGTGGTTGTTGTCGATGTTCGAGTGTGGTGTCGATCGTCGCGGCTGGAAGTTAACGCCTGATACCGTATCTACCAGCCAACTGAAGCCTTGGCTCGAAGCGAGATGCGAGCGCCCACGTTTCCAGCCGCCTTCTCTAGCGAAGCTTCTGACGGCTTCACAGCAGGCGACAAACCCCTTCTCTGGCATCTAGGTACTGAGAAAAGAGAAAACGTTCGGGAAAATCGCACAGAAAAAGGCTAGATCCCGGCGCGATTACGCTCCACGGACAATCCTCGCAAGTCTCAACTAGCTAAACGCAGCGGCGTGCGGAGCGCACCGATGCAGCACCCGGCCAGAGACATTACGACGTACAGCGGCAACCGAGCAGACGGCGACTCCACCAACTTCTACGGCAACATCTATGGCAACGTAAACTTTCCGGAAAAGCCTCGCGAGGCTGGCGAACCATCCCTCCACCAGTGTTTGCGCGACCTGCGGGTGACGGACCCGCGCGAAGACCGGGCGCGCATCGAAGGCGACAAAGACAAGCTACTGAAGGACTGTTATGGTTGGATACTAGATGATAGTAGCTTCCGGCGATGGAGGACACAGAGCGAATCGCGGCTGCTGTGGATCAAGGGCGACCCGGGCAAAGGCAAAACGATGATGACTATGGGTGTGATTGCTGAGTTATCCCGACCCGAATCATCATATGTAGTTGTGCCGAAGAAGCGCAGGCGTATTGACCATCCAGAACCCTTGCTGTCCTTCTTCTTCTGTCAAAGCACGCAGCCAGAACTCAACAACGCGCTTTCGGTCCTTCGAGGGCTTGTTTACATGCTTGTCACCCAAAGAGAGGACCTCCTGCGACATGTGCAGAAACAGTACAAGGCCGCAGGCAGGCAGCTGTTTGAAGGGCCCAATGCCGTCTATGCGATGGGGAGGATACTGTCGGACATGCTCAACGACGCCTCTCTGCCGCCAACCTACTTCCTCATCGATGCGATCGACGAGTGCACGTCTGGACTGTCCGAGCTTCTGAGAGTCATAACCGACGCCAGCCTTAGGCGGTGGCCGAGGGTCAAGTGGCTGGTGACAAGCCGCAACATACCAGAGATCAAGCAGCACCTGCAGCCTGACTCGCTGGGTGTCCAGCTGAGCCTTGAGGTCAAGGCGAGCTATGTGTTAAGAGCGGTGGCTGCGTTTGTGGAGTACAAGGTGCAGCGGCTGGCAGCTATCCACAAGTATGACGTGCGGTTACAAGCAGAAGTACAACAGCAGCTTCGCGACAAGGCTGAAGGCACGTTTCTGTGGGTATCGCTAGTGTGTAAGGAGCTAGAGGGTGTGCCGCTCTACCGCACGCGAGAGGTACTGCAGGCACTGCCGCCAGGACTTAACCCGCTGTACGACCGGATGATGGCGCAGATCGTGGCGCAAGACAACGTCAGGACAGCACAGTACTGCAAAGATGTTCTCCGAGCAGTCACTGTCGCCTTCAGACCCCTGCACTTAAAAGAACTCGTTATAGTTGCTGGCCTCCCAAGCTATCAGTTTGACAACCCCCAGACAGTCGCTGACCTGGTCAACTACTGCGGATCCTTCCTCACTCTCCGCCAAGATACAGTATCCTTCATCCACCTGTCTGCCAAAGATTACCTCACATCAGGTAACGGTCAGCACGTTTTCGATAGCGCAGTTGCAGAGGAGCAAGGCCAGGTGACCTATCGCCTGCTTAATGCGATGCGCGACACGCTGCAGAGAGATCTCTGTAGCTTAGGGAAACCTGGAGCACAAACAAAGGGAATGACAGAGCGGATCCAGCAAAGCGTCCTCGCACGAATTGCATATGCATGCGAGTACTGGGTTGATCATCTATGTGACTCAAATCTTACTTCTTTAGAGAGAAATAGCAACACCCTACATGATGGAGGCATTGTAGACGTGTTTTTGCGGGAGAAATTTCTCTACTGGCTAGAAGCTACAAGTCTGTGCAAGAGCATGCCAAAGGGCGTAATCTCAGTAGCGAAACTCTGGTCGCTAATCCAGGCACGTTCTTCATGTAACACGATTGCGACATCTTTGTGCTAATTCAAGATAGGGACAAGGAGATGCAAGTGCACTAACTGAGCTTATCAAAGATGCACATCGATTTATCATGTACCATAAAGGAGCCATCGAGAGTAGCGCACTCCAGGCCTATGCATCTGCGCTGTTGTTCAGTCCAACGAAGAGTTTAATCAGAAGGCTTTTTCAGCATGAAGAGCCAAAATGGATCACAATCAGCCCAGCTATGAGCGACAACTGGAGCGCGTGCCTGCAGACGCTTGAGGGCCATAGCGATTGGGTTGAGTCGGTGGCCTTCTCGCACGACTCGGCCCGACTGGCGTCGGCGTCGAGGGATAGGACCGTCAAGATCTGGGATGCTAGCAGCGGCGCGTGCCTGCAGACGCTCGATGGCCATAGCGATTGGGTCCACTCGGTGGCCTTCTCGCACGACTCGACCCGGCTGGCATCGGCGTCAAACGACAGCACTGTTAAGATCTGGGATGCGAGCAGCGGCGCGTGCCTGAAGACGCTCGAGGGCCATAATGATGGGGTCTACTCGGTGGCCTTCTCGCACGACTCGACCCGGCTGGCGTCAGCGTCGAGCGACAACACCGTTAAGATCTGGGATGCTAGCAGCGGCGCGTGCCTGAAGACGCTCGAGGGCCATAGCGATTGGGTCTACAAGGTAGCCTTCTCGCACGACTCGACCCGGCTGGCGTCGTCATCCTGGGACAGCACTGTTAAGATCTGGGATGCTAGCAGCGGCGCGTGCCTACAGACGCTCGAGGGCCATAACTATGGGGTCTACTTAGTGGCCTTCTCGCACGACTCGACCCGGCTGGCGTCGGAATCGAACGACAACACCGTCAAGATCTGGGACGCCAGCAGCGGCGCGTGCCTACAGACGCTGAAAGGCCACAAAATTGCCAGCTTAGTGGGCTTTGAAACCCAGCAACTTATTCATCAGGCTATCGGCATTAGCTCAGATGAAACCTGGATTACTCATAATGCTCAAAAGCGGTTGTGGCTCCCATCAGAGTATCGTCCATGTCGCTCAGCTGTGTCAGACAGATGTATTGGTATAAGCACAGGGTCTGGAAAGGTGTGGATATACTGCCTGAAGTAATGTTCGTCTTCTCAGTGCGGCCGGAGTAGACACGCAGTGTTTGTATGTAGCGTTTCTCCATTCATTAACTTACTTCTTATCTTTATTTTAACAGATTAGCATTCACAGAGGGGCGGAGATGTACACGAATATATATGTGAGTTCTTTGCCACACCGTAACTTCGAGAAGTGCGATTATGTTGTGGTTTCCCTCAAACAGGGAGCACGCTACCCCAGGAGCCAAGCTCCGCTCGGCGCGTGGGGCGGTTATACTTTTCTCGCGCGGGCGTTGAGAGCAAAAGCTGTATATTCGCTTGTGTTTTAAACACCTTACCCGATACAGTAAGTGGAGAGCTGGACCCCCTGCTTAAACGCTGGCGTAAAATGGTGTTGCAGCGGCGCGCAGCGGTGAAACTGCAATCGCTAGCGACTGTACGTATTGTACAGTACCGTACAGTACCAGTCCTGATGTGAGTCCGCTACTGTGGCATATTGTATCCAGCTAAGTCCATAAGCTTGAGCTCATCGAAGTGATAAGTCGGGCACCATAGTTTCCGACACCCCGTAGTTTCCGACACCCCGCCAAAGTTCGACGCTGCCACCACTCTAGGTTGCGAAAGTGCTCACAACTTCATCGAATAATTCTGCCAACTACTATAAAAATTGCATTTGAAGCATTTTAGTCGCTTTTTTCATATGCATCAAAATCACGATCAAGATATCGTCGTGTTGGTTGTCGATTCCGTGCTGAACGTCGAATCAATGGTTGCTCTGCTCCCTCCTCAGAGCTACTCTCTTCTTCTACGATGATGACCTTCTGCTTTGCGCTTCTCACCTTGCGAACACGTTGAGAAGGCTCTTGATTAGTTTGAGAGAGAACCTCTGCAAGACTCGCGAAGAGATCGTTTGGATTTCTTCTGACCTTGCGGCGTTTTGGCGGGTTAGCTTGCTCCACCTGCTCGCGCAAGGAAGCAATCTCACGGTCTTGCATGGTGACCATTATTGAGGTACGATCAAACGCCGTGGCAGTAAGCCGAACACATCGGCGTGTATTTGGTGAGAAGCTCTTTCCAGAAAACAGCTTTACAACATCGCTGCCCCGTTTTGGCGTCCTAATGTCCGTGGTAGAAGGTGGTGGTGTTGACGGCCGTTCACGCACCACCACCCAGCGAGAACCCAAGGGCTTCCTCACGTTCTTGGGATACAAGCCTGTTGCTTTCCACCCTGATTGGATGCACTGCTCTCGAAGGCCGATTTTACGTGCTTCTGCATAAAAGCTGAGAAACTTGGCCTTCCCAAGCTTCGTTTTACCTGTCCAGGCCGTATACTCGCTGACGAAGCGCCGATACGCCGTCTTCAGACTCGAGAAACAGCCCAAATCCAAAGGCTGGAGTATATGTGAAGTATGAGCAGGTAAGAAGAGCAAGTGGACATTATTCAAGTAACATGTGGTCATAAATTCGTCTGAGGTATGACTGCCATGACCGTCGACGATCAGTAACCGTGCCTCGGAGGGATCGTCAGGCTCAGTCTGTGGCAAAAACACCCTCTCCAGCCACTCAACAGCGATGTCATTACTCGTCCACCCGTTTTGGGAAAAGGTAACGTACCAGCCAGGATTCTGAGCCAAGAAACTCTGCTTAAACCACTGCTCCTGAATGCTCTTGGCCCTAAAGATGACAAGGGGGTCCAGAGCGACACTAACCGCAGAGATACACTCTACCACAGAGGTCCAAGTACGGGCATTTATCGTCTTAACTAGTACGGAGTTCAGACTCTCCTGCGAGGAGCCTATGACAAGCCCATTAATGCCCTGGCCCTCCATAATACCGCCCTCGTCGGCATTGTACCTGCGCTAAGGGGGGATCCAGCTAACTGTTTCGTACAGGTTGAACAAGTGCCTGATGTTTTCTGGAGTGGCCTCATTGATGCGTTCCCAGCTAGTCCGGCGACCTAACTTTGACTTGATAGCCGGGTGGCGCTTCACGAAGTGACTGGTCCACTTCTTCCCCAGGTTCTTGTGGTCACCCTGTCGCTTGAGAACGGCGATTGCGATGGCCCGCACTTGCGCGTGCGTTGGCGCATAACCAAGGGCCTCTTGCTGGAGAATCCATTTCTCTAGGTGCTCTTCTTGAACGTTTGTAAGCCGTTGTTTACCGTCGTGAGCGCGCTGATGAGGTTGGGCACTATTAAAGCGGCCGCGAAGAGTGTTGCGTGGGACCCCGTGCCGGGTGGCAGCAGTGGCTAAAGCGACCCCAGATTCGAGGTCTGCGAGCGCATTCTGGACATCTTCTTCTGTGTATCTAGCCATTCGAAAACAGGGATGATGATGTAGAAATATTTTTGAAATTGACGAAGAGTTGAATTGTCTAGAGTTGATGTTTGGTCGTGGTGCATGGTGGGGAAGCGAGGTTGCGGGGCTGTCGGGAACTACGGGGTGTCGGAAACTATGGTGCCCGACTTACTGTATAGATGTATGGTGTCTGGTAAGCTCACTGCAGCTGCTATCACAAGTGACCGCGCACCCTGTTAGGCAGTCGGATACGACGATTGGTAGGGTCGCTTTGTGTGGCCACTTCGTCATAGGCGACTAGTTTGTGCCAGGTCGTCACCCGGAGTGGTTTGGGCCTTCACTATCACGCGTTGGTCTTCCATCAAGCACTGAAGTACCGTCAACAAAGCTGGTTTTTTTTTGTCTACATGACATCTGGCTACGCAGAATCGCCCCTAGTTCTCAATCGTTTAATGCTCTCTGTTACTTGTTTCTCGCCAAGATGGTCACCACCACTGTAGCTGATACTGCTGCCGCTCTGAACACGCATACTGAGTCCTCCACGACAACACAACAAGAATATCGGGCAAACGATGACAAAGTACAGAAAAATTCCAAGCACGCTAGGGAGAATCCAGCGCAGAGTACAAGAATAGATGTCTCGTCTGTCAGGCAGAAGACCATTGCTGTGATCGGCACGACTGGGTTCCTCGGTCCGTATCTTCTAGCATCTCTACTCCAAACCTACACTGGCTCCAACATTCTCTGCATCAACAGACGCGCCGATGCAGAACAGCGAACCTTGGTAGCTCTCGAGGGCATTGCTGGGTACTACTCCAGTAGATACTCTCGCGTACGCTTCCTTGTCGCAGATATCACGCGGCAAGACGTAGGAATGGGGCTGGTTCAGGACGAGCTACTTGCCTCTGTAGTTGATGAAGTCATTTTCAACGCTTGGAACCCCCACCGGGGCCTGCCGCTGGAAAGCTTCCAGCCACTACTAAGTGCCTTAGTCAGCGCCATCGGCTTCTGCACGTCAAGCCCCAGACAACCTCGCATAACTTTCATCTCGTCTGTCTGTGCTGTTGGAGAATGGCCACGCCAGCATCCCGAGCAGCGCCTCATCCCCGAGCGCGTAGTTTGGGATAGTGCCAGCGCCATGCGCCATGGGTACGGTCAGAGCAAGTGCATCGCCGAGCAGCTCCTCGCACGCGCTCACGCCGTATCGGGTCTCAGTGTTGCGATTGTCCGCGCAGGACAGATTGGAGGGCCGGCTCGACCGAGCACTGCGTATAGCATCTGGCCAGTGCAAGGTTGGCTGTTCTCGATCATCAAAGCTCGCGCAAAAATTGGATACTGGCCTGCGCATGTCCAGCCTTTGGACTGGATCCCAGTGGGCGCGCTTGCTGAGGGGGTTGCCAGAGTCGTATGTGGAGAGTCGAGAGCCAAGGATGTGCAGGTCCTCAACATGATGCATCCGCAGCCTGCTCCGTGGCGATTGCTGTTCGCGACATTGCAGAGCCGATTTGGACTCAGAGCAGAGGAGGTCAGTCTTCCGGAGTGGCTGGACGCACTGGAGCCAGGGGCGCTGAAGCTAGATGCCTTCCTGCGAGCGGCAGGAAGGGGCAGAGAGTACGACATGGCGGTGGAGAAAGGAGACGCTTCAGCTCTCCTGCCTGAGGTGGCACCTATCACAGAGGATCAATTAGTGGCATGGATAAGGGGGTGGAATTTAAAGCTTGGACACAACCGGGCTAAGATATAGTCGTTGCGTGAAAGACCAATACAACCCACTGTAAATCTATAATGTCAAGTACGGCTGGCTCTGCATGACCTTTTGATCTGTTGATGTAATCGAACTGCCTTCTATCAGACCCCAGAACACAGCTCTTTCCCAAAATCCTACAACTGCTGTCAAGCAATAGAGTGTTAATAGATACAGAATGCACAGCGATAGTGTAGGTAGAGGTATATTGCCTTGTAAGACTAGAGACGAACCGCTGTCGAGCCACAACAGCGGTAAGGTAGGTTAATATACTGCGATTGCTTGGCATACCGGCCTGAACGGGCCCGGAGTAGCCTGGTGCCTGACAACTGCCACGGCCCACAGCCGCCAAGGCACATCCTCTCGTACACGCCGCAATCCGCTGTACTTGTTCAAAGACTCGCTACCACCTCGATTAAATCATGCTGAACTCACTGCAGGCAGGCAGAAATCATACTTGCTGTTCTCTGTCGTCAGCAATCGTGTCATATCGACTCCTCAATTTGACCGTAAACACCGAAATACAAGGATCGTCAGCCACGCAAGGAGGCAGCTCGCGAGCAAGATCAAAACTTTCTTTAGTAAGCTGGGGAGTCAGGGCACGAAGCAGTCTCAGCGCTTGCTACAGTACTGTACTGCACATCGCTGGGTACAGTGGCTAGCGATCGCGGCTTCACCCCTACACGCAGCTGCGCAACAGTTTTCGATAGTCCCACCTTCCGTATATGGCTTAGCGCTAGATGTATGCTGCAAAACAGTCAGTATGGTTGGTCAGTCTTCGATCTAACGATGGCTGATTTTGTGAAATGCTGTACGAAGGAATGAAGCCGTAATTCGCTAGCCACTATAATACGGATCCGTCCTTGCTTCTCAGCATCGATCGAGCTTGAGATCCTGAAGGGAAAGGCTGGTACAGTAGCATCACGTTTCTCTTCAGCCTATAGGCTGCAGGAATCACCACGAGGTCACATGTCGGTTGGCGTCTCTAACTTTAGCAATGAAGCTAGTGATTTTACACTAGCAATCTGGAACTTGACCTGAACGTTATGTCCGAAGCTACTTCTACGCTAACACTACCGTGCACTGCTGCGAGGATCGCGACAAGCTCTTCGTGACGGCCGCTCTAGCCACTCTGGCTTCCCTTCAGCTCTCTTCACATCGGAATAATAGGAGCCATCCTCCCCCAGAAATCGCATCGGTCACCGCGTCCGAGCTCCCACGTGTACGCATTTGCCAGCGAGAAGCTGTTCCTCAGTCCTGGCTCCGTGAAGAAGATGGTGTCGACGGGAGAGTACACGTCTATGGCTCCGACCGCAGCCGTGCCTCCGGTCTGGTTGATGTTGAGCTGGCACGGTTGCGCAACCGAGAAAGCAGGCCATCGAGCCGCTGCGCTGGCTCCAGTCGTTGCGTGGGCGCCGGCGCCGGCTGCGACGGCGAGGGGAATGGATGGGTTCTCCCGGGTGACGAAACGGCCCCATATCATCATAAAAGCCCGCTGCAGGTCTGCGCTGAGATATGGGACGCTGCCCAGCGGACCAAAGTAGGCGTGCAGATCGGAAGCATGGGTGCCCGGCAGAGCGCTGAACTGGTACTTGTACGCTGTGCGGCCCTGCGAAGAATACGCTTCCGCTAGCCAGTACGAGGGACACACGAAGGTGAGCTCCGCGTAGATGTTCTGCACTCGTGTTAGAATACAAGCATGAAGGTGATTAGAGAAGCGCGGCCATACGTTTGCGCGCTGCTGCTGTCCGGTAGCCAGCGAGCTCTGGTCCAATGCACTTGGTCCGACGATGCCGTTGGTCCCAACCTGGTTGAACTGGGGGCAGTTGGAAGCGTTGCTACCGGGGTAGTAACGAAGTACTCTGTCTACATCTTCGTCGCCGAACTCGGGCAAGGTGCGGTGGAGCCAGGCGCGCAGGGCAAGCTCGGTGGTGATGTTTTGCGGAGTGAAGAGAGGCCCTTCGTCTAGACGGGCTCGTTAGTCTACACAAACCCCCTCGCCGAATGGATTGGCACAAAGTGCTCTACTCCAGTCTCTCTCACAGAGTGTGGGAAGGATACGTACTTGCGTTGTTGCTGACTAGCAAGCTGCGCCCATTGACCCTCCCCTTTAGCAACTGGCTACTTGGCTCGCGTTGTATAAAAACACCATCGGTGACCGGCAGAAAGGCCCAAGTGCCGTACGGCTTGATAGCTGTGACGGCTACAGAGGCATTCTGCAGCGTGGCCGTGTCCTTTGACACCAGGCAGTCAAACAGCGGCTGCGAGGCGCGGTCTATGCGACATCCTGCACGATCTGCAAACTCGTGGTAGGTCTGGGTCGGAGGGAGATCGTCGTAGGCGTACTGCCTAGGAAGGTACGGTGATGCAGCGATAGCGCTGCGGAAGAGGGCGTTTCCGAGAGAGCCACCGTACGCCATCCCCTGCAGCATGACGGAGCCTCCTCCCGCGCTCTCTCCCGAGATGGTGACCATGGACGCATTGCCGCCAAACCGATCGATGTACGCTTGGACCCACTGGAGAGCGAAGAACTGGTCTAGCAGTCCTGCATTTGTCACGCCCCTCCTGGCCACCTCTTCCGAGGCCAGGAAACCAAACGGACCGAGTCTGTATTGCACCGAGACGACTACAAAGCTGTTTCCGTTGGCTTGCAAGAGCTCAGTGAAGTCGTTCTGGCCACTGCCCGCGCCATAGCCACCACCGTGAATCCAGACCAGGACTGGCAGGTTGAGTGCGTCGGCTGGGCTCTGGACATTGAGAAACAAGCAATCCTCCGACATCTCGAAGTCGCCTGCTCCCATCCTCGACGCCAGCCCCGGCATTCCACTAAAGCTTACCTGTTGGCATTGGGGCCCGTAAGCGTTCGCGTGGATCACAGCGCTACGGTGGACGGCAGGGAGCCGTGGGCTCTGCCAGCGAAGAGCGCCCAATGGAGGGGCTGCGTACCGAATTCTGTGGACTGCGTCAGGAGTCGTGGTGGCCTATGCAACAGTACTGAGTCGGTTCGGCTTCTTACCCTCTCCACGTATTGATGCCGGTAGTGGCATTCGAAAAACCCCGGTAGATCGCGTACCCTAGATCAACGTTAAGCGCGTCGCTAGTAGGGGACTGCTTTTCGCTAAGTAGCTTCCCAAAGGGCTGCGACGGCAGCAGAGCAGATACTGCAGAAAATGCGCATGCGAGCAGCAGGAACAACATGTTCACGGTGCTGGAACGCCGATGCAGGCGCACCGCATTATTTCAGCAATACCGGCCTCGACTCCGCAACGACTTGGCCGAAGTTGGTCGTACTGTATTCGCGTGGTCTCACCGTCGTGATCAGCCTGAGTAGTTGGTTGCAAGATACTCGCGCGACAGGGACTTTGCTTAGAAGGGCAATCAGCATTACGCTGGTCAATAGGCTGATCGGGCTAGCTAGGCCTTGCTATAAGTCAGCACCCTTCTTGCGTGTGTTACAGTTGAGATATATGCACACACAGGCGGAGCGTCCTACACAGCCATCGACAGGCGTCAAACCACTCGTGGATAACTGGCTCGTCAGCCGGCAGCTCACCAGCCATGCCGGGTCGTGCGCGTAGCTGTCCTGAGTGACTTGGGGCACTATCGGCAGATCACTCGTCCAAGTGAACTAGCACGAGTACCCCAGATCGTTCGTGGGCGCTAGTCTCGCCATCAGCACCCGAACTACACGGATACAGACCATATGCCGCTGCACCGCGCGCCGACTAGTCTTCGAAGCACATACAGTATCGTCCGCTACTGTAGAACCACTCGTGGACGGTAGTGCAGTAGTGCGACAACGCGACAGCGTGCCCCACCTTGCTCTGCTCGATCGTCCCCAGGGCCTGTGCTGTGTTGTGCTGTGCTTATGGCGTTGAAGTCTCAACGCAAGGATCTGTACAGTACAGTACAGTACGGTACTGTACTGTACTTGCATTACTGCAGTGGCGATGGCAGATGGTCGGTGTGTTTACCCAACGCGGCTGGCTGACTCGATTGCGCATGCAACTGGCTGATCTCTTGGTCGATGTTCAGGTTGTGTTTGCTGGCGTGGGTACTGCACTATCTGCACTGGAGTCGTTGGCTGCTGCAATCTGATGAGATGATCGACGTCTCGCACCAGGTGATGGTTGCTTCGGAGTGTATAACCAGCCTCCGCCCGTGAGCACAGAACGCGGCCGTCACGCATACACCCTGCTGCTTCTTTGAGTGTCCGCCTTCTGTCGGTCGGGAAACGTCCATCGTTGACTGCACGCGGTCTGCTCTCTTCCATACGGGCCTGGAGCTTGAACCAGAACCCTACCCCTTCTCCTCTATCTCGTCTCCGCCTACTTCTGCACTACCTCTGCACCACTTCTCCGCCTTCAATTTGCCTTCACTTTACCTCCGTTGGCTCTTCTGGTGGGAAATATGGCCCGCCCAAGGTCCATGCCATCCGCCAAAGAGCAGAGGTATGGGCGTGAGCGCGAGCAGAACGGCGAGCATGACCGCCAGCACAACCACAAGCATGACTACAAGCATGACTGCTGGCCTGGATGGTCCCTCAGTCACCAAGCTGACGATTACGAGCTGCGCCTGTTTGTGAAAGAGCTGGAGAACAGCTTTGGGTGCGACCGACGTACGTCCTCGTTCCTGCCGACCTGGTCTCACCTGCTAATGAAGACACGCAGCTGCAGGCGACGCGACAGGCACTATGCCTCCTTACAAGCCCGAGAGAGCCTACACGAAGAGTTCCATCTCCACCTCAGACTCGACGGCGCAACTGCTCAAGTTCGACGCAGAGGCCGCCGTTGCCGAAGCTGTCGAAGACGAGCCAGCCGATCGTAAAGACTGTAAGCAGCGTCCCCGGGCCAGGCCTGCCTGCTTGCCAGAGTACTGCTGACGCAGCTTCTAAACCACAGGGAAGCCGGAGCGCAAGCAGTGGCTTGCCATGATCAGCCTAAGCCTCGTGTCCTTTGTGGTCTCGCTCGATGCCACCATCCTGGTGACGGCGTTGCCGGTAAGTTGCCACGCGGCTTGAGCCCTCTCTAATTGCAGCACAGCGCTGACGCATTCAACGCAGGAAATGTCCCACTCGCTCCGTGGATCAGCCGCTGAGACGTTCTGGACGGGCACCGCCTATCTCCTCATTTCGGCCGTTTTTCAGCCCGTGATCGCAGCAGCCTCCGCTTGCTACGGGCGCCAGCGGCTGCTCGTCATGTCCATCGTCCTCTTTACCTTCGGCACCGCGTTTTGCGCGGTGGCGCATGACTTTGCCGTCATGCTCATCGGGCGCTGCGTGCAAGGCGTCGGAGGCGGGGGCGTCATCGCCATGACCCAAGTCATCTTCTGCGACATGGTTCCCTTGAGACAGCGGCCTCAGTACTTCTCCATGGTGCTCGCCTCGTGGTCCATTGGCAGCATCATCGGGCCAGTGGTCGGTGGTGCCTTTGTGGAGAGCGCCTCTTGGCGCTGGTGCTTCTACATCAACTTCCCCTTCTGCTTCCTAGGGTTCTTTGCTGCGCTGCTCTTCGTCGACGACGTCGACGTGCCACTCGCCAATCACCCGCGGCGCATGGACTGGCTCGGCGCATTCTTGTTTGTCGGCAGCACCACCAGCCTCCTGCTTGGCATCTCCTGGGGCGGTACGCAGCATCCGTGGGCATCTGCCGCAACCCTCGCGCCCATCCTGGCTGGCCTGCTTGGTGTCGCCGGCTTCGTCGCATGGCAGTGGCGTGCACAGCCGCACAGCCTGCTGCCTGTCTCGCTGCTGCGCAGCGCTAGCTCGGCTGCAGCTTTCTTCTGCGCTCTTGTCAACGGCCTCGTCGTGCGTGTTCCCCTCCAACCATTGTAGGCACGCTTGTGTGCTGACCAGCGTCCAGCTCTTCACAGGCCTCTACTATGTGCCTTTCTACCAGATGTCAGTGCGCGGCTCATCGCCTGTCCGTGCCGGCATCGATCTCTTCCCCGCCGTTTGTCTCCTCGTCCCCGGCTCGGTCGTGGTAGCCATCCTCACTTCGCGCCTCGGGCACTTTCGATGGGCCATCTGGCTGGGCTGGAGCGTCACTCTCGTCGCCTGCGGCTTGTTTACCGTCTTCGATGAGCGCACCGAGAAGGCGGTCTTCGCCCTCGCCCTCGCGGTGTTCGGTGTGGGGAACGGTATGGTGCTGACGAGCGTCAACGTTGCAACGCAGGCTATCGCCAACCAGACCGTTGCCAAGAAAGAGGATCGTGCGATGGCTGCCTGCATGTACGGCTTCATGCGCAGTCTGGGCATGCCCGTCGGTGTTGCTGTACGTTACAAG